AGGCATGCACAGACATCATTTAGGTTTTAACTGAATCAATTTGTGTAATATCTTAGAATTTACTAAGATTAAAAGGTCAAAAACTATTTTTTGCTCGAAACGAGTTGACCAGTTCTAGATTTACTGATTAAACTTTGGTTTTTTTGGTATTTGTACTTATAGGTACTTAACTTAACACCTTTACTGTATTATCTATACATTCTATACTTTTTATGTCCTTGAACTTTTATTCACTTCATATAGTTTATTCTATACACATTTTTAATTTTTTGAAAGATTGTATGCAGTTGCTTAATAAAAAAAAAAATTATTCATTACAAATAATATTTAATTAAATTGGCTTAATTAACTGATTATTCCAACAGATAATAATAAATTGCTAGAATAATTAACAAATATACTTAAATATATAATGAATTAATAATTTACTTATTGTAAAATTAACATACCTACCTACCTATCTATTTTTAAATTTTAGATAAAGCTAAAAATGCTGAAAATTAATAAATCAAAGTTCCACTTTTGAAGAACGAAAATAAAAATGCATTGAAACCTGATACATACCTATTAGCTATTATCATTAAATATAAATATTATAAATTATTCATAATGGTATTCTAATATCAATAACACCTCAATTCTTATAAAAAAAATGTATCATTATTATTTATTACCTATTATAGGAGTTAACTATCTGATATAGATCTTGTAAATTTCTTATTATGTATTTCAGAATTAATTTGGAAAAACAATTTTTTCAATTTTATAAGTGTAAAATTTAATGGAGCAACTCTTAATAAGTATTTAACAGACTTATAAACAATTAATACTGTATTAAGCTGATGATCATCTTATCATAGGCAGTCCTTCACAATTATTAATGACCAACCTTTTGGATAAAAATCCTTTTTTTTTTTATCAAAAAATTTGTTTATTAAGAAATTCATTATTAATTTTAAGCATATTAAATTTTGTCCTCCAAGCCTATCATAATATTAAGTGAATTTATGTATACAATTTATAAAAACTAAACTACTTTTTCTTCAAATAAAAGTTAAAACAGAAATGAATATTTTTTGTTTTGAGAATATATCAATTTTTCCATAAATATATGTTTCTATTCTTATTTATAAGACTTTATTAATATATTTCTTATGTATTTAATTTTAATAAGATTTCATATTGTCTGGTAGGTATTAATATGCACTAAAAGGAACCATAAAATATAAATAAATAGGTAATCAAATTTTAAAAATAAGAAATATAAATTTTCAAATGTTATTTGATTGTTTAAATTGAAAATCATTATTTATTATTTGTAGCTATAATGTAGATTAGACAAGCATTTTTAACTTTTAACTCTCACTGTTTTTGTTTTTTTTTTTTTTACAGAACCACTTATCTTAACATTGACTGACAAAACCTTTTAAAGTCGCTACCAGGCACCAGCTATATTCAATGATACTGTAGGCATGTGTTATGTAGCAATCAAATCATCTTACTGATATAGACTATTTTAAAATCATTTTTATTGACTTTGTACTTACAAATCTATGATCAGTGTACCATGCTGAATGTAGAAATCTTGGTCTTTAATATTTCTGTCTTGTAGTGACTGATTAAGGAGTTTAAAATATGAACTAAAGAATAAACTTTTTTTTCTATTTAAAATTCTGAATCATATATTTATTTTCTGGTGCATCTTAAATAGATTAACACTAAAAAACTTTATTCCAAAACTATGCGCGATCTTTATAAATTAATTTTATAGAAGTAATTAGTATCTATTGTATCAGCGATAAATAACTAGGTATTGTATATCCTATTAACATAAGCAAATACATTTAATTACATCAACAGAGATCAAGAACTTGAATAAATTCCTAAATATTTAAATTGATTATATTATGTTAACACAAATTTAAAACTTATTAGAAAAGGTAATGACTTTTCATAGTTTCATACATTAATTCAATTAAAGAATCTAGTTGGTACTTTGAGAAAAAAAAATAAAAATTCTCAGTAGGTACTCTTCAAAATATCATGGAAAAACAAAAAAATATTTGAGTGAATATTTATGCAAAATTAATATTTGAATAAATTGATATTATTTTAATGGTATAGCTTAAAAATAAATAACCATAGATACCTGAATTCTGAATTTTTAACCAAATATCTATGTTAGAATTTTCTACACATCACATATAGTCTATCAGTTTATATGACATAGACTTATTATAATTTTATATTTTGAGATATTTATTGACATTTAAAATGTTCAACTTGTGTAGGTAGGTATACTAACTGCTAACTAGTAACTACTAATATGTAATTTTGTCCAAATATGAACTTATATGATAAAAATAATATAATATAATATAATATAATATTTACTTTTTTTATATGATAAAAAATGTGCTTATTTTTTTAAAAAAATTTCTAGTTTTAATATATTAACATACTTCAAATACTAAAAAAAATAGATAATAATAAATAATGCTCAAGTACTTGAATATTTGGTTATGGTATATATAGTATGAGTTCTTACTTTTTAATGGTGATATTTTGTTAGATAATTGAATAAGACTGCATGATTTCTGCAGGCACTGCAGTGCTTTAATTATTTAATAGGTACATCTTAATATTCTTCATGTTAAGTAACTTGTATGTCATATAGGAGTAAAATTGTTTAATATATTCCGCTGTCAAAAATAATTTATGAATATCATGTGATAATATGAAGAGTATGTCACACACTTGCATGCATTGTCTCAATCTTCAATACCTACATATAATAGCAAGTTTGCTTTCAACAGTATCTATTTTATGTTGTTAGGTGATTTAGATAATGTGTCATTATTTTTTTTCATATAATAAATCCTATAGCGCATTTAACTAGGTAAGTATATCTATATCCATTACTTATTCATAAAAATGCGATTAACACTATAGCGCTAAAATTAAATGAATTGACCACTTATTGAGTATTATTCGAGTAATTTTGATCCTTCATTGTTTCCAAATCTATACATAGGTAATTGTAATAGCTATTAAAAGTTACTGAACAAAGTGTTTTGTTGATTTTATTAATTATTGCTTATTTGCTTCAAATACTTCAAAGGTGAATCCAGAATCTCCACCAATAACAATTTTTTAAATTATTGTTGGATGTGGTAATTTATTTTAAATAAATGTTTAAACAACTGTAAGCTTTAGTTGAATAAAATTAAAGATTTAATTGCTGATTAATATTTAGCATTTTTGATTTAAAACTTAAGAAATTGTACATTCAAAATAATTTCTTTTATTTACTTTTATTAACTTTGAAATTGGCCTATTTTAAAATTTAATTATAAGATGCATTTTAAAACAACTATAACTTGCCTCAAACGTTTTACTTTTAAATTCTATTCAATCTAAATTAATAAAATCACACATGGAACCAGCCATATATCTTAAAAAATATAATTTTATGCTGCTAACACAGTTTCTTTCAATTAATTATTTTATTTCTGTTCCAGCAATAATGATTGATACAAAATTTAGTAACGTAAGTTATCTAATAATAGGTAAGTACCAAAATTGTTTGCGCCACATAGGTAGATACTTTTTTTTTTAATTTTTAACTACTAAAAGTTATCTCTTAAAGCCTATAGATGGGACGCGGTAAGATATCATTATTAGACAATTCTATCGTAGATACAAGTTTACTGAATACCTACGTGAAGTAACCTGCTCAAGTATGCGGGTAAATAAAATTAAAGTTTAACATACATAAATTACATGATTAAGTACTAAATATGATGGATATTCACGACAGTCAAAATGTTAACTATACACTATTTGAGCCTTTGTTTTGGTATAACAATAATTTTAATAATTATATAATTAATAAAATTAGGTTTTATTATGTTCTACTATAGTACTACCATAAACTGGGATTAATGTACACACTACAACGTTGTCTGATACACAGTCTTGATGAATTCATGATCAATTATCAATCATCGAGTACTTAAACATTTTCATTTTCAACAAGTGCCTATTTGTGATCATTTAGTTAATAATTAATATCAGTAATTTACGGGCTGCAGTATGTATTACTAGTATTAAGTACTACAAATCTGCCGTGAAAGACGCAGTTCTTCCCAGAACGGAGAACGAATAACGTGAAATGGTAATCATTGTAATAATATCGTGCACACTATAATAGAGCATAATTATCATTATTATTATTGTAATTTGTAATATTATTATAATAACGTCGTTTAACGCTTCTCGTCATGGGCGATGACTGACAAGATCGGAGATGATCGCGGGCTGCAGAGCACAGAGCACAGTGAGTGACCGTCACACAACTCGCATTCACTTCTTAGCGCTTGCGCAATACTATCGTCTAATACAGATGATAACGTTGGATCGTCGTTGAAATCGACGGCGGTGTTCAAGGCGAATTAATCAACCCGTTACAATAAAATTGTAAAAAATAATCACAACAATAAACATGTACGCGGTGGTCGAGTTTCATTGTCACCGCAGTGTTTTTGATAAAAGGAAAAAATTGTAAAATCATATCGATAAACGGTGGCGATAATTAATGATAACAGACGTCTAATCACTCTAATCAACGCGTTCAGATTATTTCCCAAGTTTCCGCGAAATTCTACTGTCATTAGTGTCATTGCACTAGATCGTCGCTCGCTGTCTGGAAAAGGCTTGTTTTCTCGTTTCAATCGTCGAAACGTGTCCCTACGACCGACACACATGCGGTCTCTCTAGCCGTCGAAAAATAGCGTGTCGCCCAGACTGGTGGACTCGACCACCGATGCCCCAAGTGAGGTACGTAATATTATAACAATTAATGTCGGACTTGTAATGTCCACCAGGGAAAAACAAAATTTATTAGTGAGGAATATGTGGGTCACTACATTATGTTTGTAACAATGTAACGAACACTTTTCATTGCCATAGTTCCCGTTCCATATGATTGCTACGCCGACATGGCCGAAAATGGCGCCATCGATACAAACTCTAAGCATGAAAAGTCGGCTGAAGAAATGCTATCGGATTGGATTCAGTGCATTTGCGTCGTCACTTTTGACCTGGAGTTTGGTCAGGCGATGGAGGTACTGCTATGGTTGTCTGTTCATTTCTTATCTCGTTTCATTTCTATCTTATAACGCCTATCTGTATTTCTTTTCTATTTTTTTTTCTATTACAGTTGGTCTACCCAAACAATGTCAAATTGTCTGAGGAAGACAAAACAAACCTCTGTTACTTGGCTTTTCCCGACTCCAATTCTGGCTGCATGGGAGACACTCAGTTTCACGTCAAGATAAAATGTTCTCAACCTTTGAATCTCAGTCAATGCCATATAAACTATAACACAAAATGTCCAGTTTTCTTACAAGCTGATCATCGTTGTTTGTATGGGTTTGTTTTCTTTCGACAAATCAAAGATCTGTCTCTTCCACGGGGTTATTTTCAAAAAGTATGTTTAACCGTTTGTTTTCTATAATACACTAACTTCTTATGAGAATAAAATACAGTGTGACATTGTCAAAAAGCTTACTGATTTAGAGATGAATTTGCATTATGTACAGGTAAAAAAAGTCTATTTGGGTTAATTATCAGCACGTCTCTGAATAACTTCAATAACTTAGTAAAATATTTTATAATTTTGTTATTGAATTAACATTGTAAATTTTAGTATAAATTATATGTTCTGTTTGTAAGTCATAAACAATGAACATAAAATAATGTATTGGTCAGTATGATATCTCAGTTTATCATTTGTAAAACAGTAACACAACATACCATATTAACTTACATTACAAAGATTATATCATAAATATTCAAAATGAAAGTTGATTTGCCTATTATATTTTATATTGAATTTATCATTTCTATCTTTTGTATAGTTTTAATTTATAATAAATAGAAATAAACTTTTTGTTTTTTTAATATTGAAAATACAAAGACACCAACCTAAAAGTTTTTCTTGATTTAAATACAGTTTAAATATTACAAAAATACTTTTTCATTACAAACAAATTTTAATTGTAGCTTAATTAGGTAAATTTTAATTGTGTTTATGTGCATAGTATACTAAATCTTAAATAATATTAATTAAACACTCAGGTATTTTAATGTCTATGCAGAAAAATAAATAAATAAAGAGATTGTTAACATGGCCAAATGAAAATAATATTAAAAGTAATGAATAATGACCAACACAGCATGCTTTTTTATTGTTTTGACTATCAAATTCATTATTCATAATGTATTATTAAAAGGAATATTATGATAGAAAGCTTGAACAGGTTTTTAGACATTGCTCCAGAACATATTATATTTTTAAATATAAAAAGTAAACTATAAATTTTAATTTTCATGAATAAATTATTATTAATTTTTTTAATGTTGTTATTGCTCAATTTCTTCAATTATAAATTTAAGGGTTTCATTCAATTATTTTAAAACATTTAAATTAACCATATCTTTAAAAAAAGTAATCAAATTAAATACTTATATATTTTGTTATCCAAAAATGCAATATTCAAAATAATTTATAAATATTAACAATTTAATGTATAGGTATATTTTTAAATAATGTTTATACTTGTGTATTTATGCAATTTTTTTTTATTCCAATTTACTATACAATAAATAATAAATAAAAGCATTTTAAGTATTCTTAAATTTTGGTATTCTGCTTGATACTTTTGAACTAATCTTTTGTAATATGATTAAAAAAAGTGTCTGTAATTATACTATTGTGTGTTTTTTTTTTTATATAGTTTTATTTCCTTAATTTATATTTTATATCACTGTACTTACTGTTTATAACTATTCAGTAGGTATTTTTGGTCATGCACTGAAGTAAAAATTTGGAGATAGACATAGATATTTTTTTTGGAATCAGCTTTTTTAATACATTTTAGTATGTGTATCGTTGTTAATGATTTTTTTTAAGTTCTTTGTAACTTAACAAGCATCAATGAATTAATTATTTGTTTAATTTATTCATTAAGTATCAAATTGATTAAGTTTTATTTTTTTTAAATTAAAATTAATTTTTCAAAACTGTTAGAAACGATTATCTATTATTGTTTAAAATTATTTCTTATTAGTTGTCATGTATAATAAATAATTAATTTTAAAATATGTATCAAACAAAATAAAAAATAAAAAAATATCTTACTATTAAATTAAATAATGAAAATTACAATATTAACATTTAATTTTTGGTGCAAATAACCAACTCTATGTTTATAACCTACCTTAACTTGTGTGCACGTTAACTGTTACCAGTGACTTTTTTTTATCACAAAATTTAATTCAAATTGTTAATCTATAAAATATAATAAGTTCTGATTTAGTATTAATTATAGAAAATAATATAGCATTTATGCAGTAGGTAATCTACTACAAAATTTAAATACAAGTCAATTTAAAATTACATAAATTTATCTTTGTTATTATTTACTGATCTCCACCATCATATTCTAAAAGAAATATTTCGGTAACTATAAAACGATAAATATTTATAAAATCTGATCTCTAATTAAATTTGAATTTTAAATGTAGATTATCTATCTACTACACTTATATTAAATAGTTGGTCACCTGCTACACAAATATCAGGAAAAATTTAGGATTTGAAAATTCTAAATTTAATTAATGTTATAATTTGTTGTTTAGAGTGTAATTATTCTATCTCAGTTGCCATTCATTAGTTTATTTACTGAAGTTTGCGGGACAATAGCACCTGAGTATTTTAAACACGGGATTACTGGAATAGAAGTAGCATGGCATGATATCAAACAGTGGCCTGATTTATATGCTGGAGAAACAGTGAGCTTGCCATTACTAGGAATTGTTCTTCAAGTTTGTGAATCAGCATGATTAACATCAGATACTGTTTTAATATTAAAACTATTTTGTTTATAGGCTCAACTGATATGTGATAATAATAAAATCTGCAGCTCATCAAACTCAATGGTACCTGATTACCAGCTACCAGTGGTTGTATCATCATTGTACGAACTAAATACATTTGGATGTTTTTCATCGATTGTATCTCAAATGCATCTTTTATGGGAATTAGTGTTAACGACTGAACCCATTGTTGTGATGGCCTCATCACCTACCTACAGCTCACAGGTTGTTCAAGCTTTGGTTAGGTAAAATTGATTTATTTAACTAAAATGGCTTAAAGATTTAAAATAGTAGTTTATTATAACTTATTTTGATTTTATTTTCAATAACTAGCTTAATAGTGCCATTAGCTTATTACGGAGATTATCGTCCGTATTTTACAATACATGATAATGAGTTTAAGGAGTATATGAGTAAAACATTGAATCCGCCACCTATAATACTTGGTGTAACAAATCCTTATTTCACAAAAACATTACAACATTGGCCACATATTGTTAGAGTAACTGATACATCGAAAAAAGGTAAATATATAATGTTTATAAAAATATTCATTTTTTGAAATGTCATGTTGATAATAATTTATTTTAACGTTGCTTTAAAAGTCATCTTTCTGCTAAACTAGTTTAAATTAACAGTTATAATACTAATATTTTTTCACTATTACAATTTTTATTTTTATTATTTGTTAGAATTATTTATTTCTGAGTATTTATAATCCAAACCAGAAGACCAAATACCTTAGGTAATAAAATTGCTTAGAAAAAATACCTAATGTTTTTAAAACTTCAATATGCAACTTATTTTATAAATAAAGCATATTTAAAGATTTGTATCTTAATCAAATAATGTTTAAAACATTTTGAAAATGAAAATTGTAGTTACTATTATTCATTAATTGTTGACGATATGTATTTTTATTTTTTTTATTATTATTTTTAAAAATATTTTAAGTTAATTCTACTTTTTGATTAAACCCAATATTGTTTTTAATTCTATCAATCTGTACAACTCTTAGCTTCAAATACTTTTACAAAAATAAAGTTTTTAGATACATTTTTAAATGATAATCTAAAATATAATAAAACAGTTAAATTATTTTACCATGATAACTATCTCTCAATAAATTATAAAATAGCATTTAATTTTAGTTTTCATGTGTCTATTTATTTAATTTGATCATTTTTACTTTAGAGCTATTTATTTAAGTTTTCAATTATTTTATTCAAATTATTCAAATATCCAATTTTTTAAAATGGTTATGTGTTTTTTTTTTATTTAGATACCATAAATAAAAGTAAACTAAAAAAAGGATCAAATCTGAAAATCTTAGATGCTAAGCCCGGAGTTTATACTGAGTATAAACCTTATTTGTATAAAGACAAATCAATAGTGAAAAAACTTCTCAGAGGAATGCAAAACAAGCGTCCAGAAGAAGTGCAATCAGCTCTATTAAGACGACACTTTTTAGAACTTACTCAGAGTTTTATGATACCACTTGAACGATACATGTCATCATTGATGCCTTTACAAAGGAATATTTCTCCTTTTAAGGTATGAAAATTGTCTTAATGTTTTACACAGAAAATGTATTTATTTTATTTTTACAGGCGGCTCCTAAACCCTGGCCTTTTAATCCTGACAACTTTTTGGCTAGTTTAGAATATGCTGGGCCTCAACTGACATGTGGTATTAAAGGAGACTGGAAGGGACTTTACAAGCAATTTTTTAGATCTCCAAATTTCAATGGTTGGTACAATGTTCGTTATAAAGGAATGATGATGAAGCTTCAAATTTTGCAAATTGAAGCCCTATCTAGTGTGGTAAATAAATAACTTATATTTAATTACATTTTATTTTTTAAATATTAGTTAATACTAAACATATTATAATTTATTTATTGGTTTTAGGATATCAATAATTGGCTTGAAGGAAAACAAGAAGTAGAAATTGTTGACATGATACTAAAAATACGCCAGAAACTGGATGAATGTGAAAGCAAAGGGTATCAGATAAATAAAAGAATCAAAGATCAATTAAAAGTGAAAATGGATGATATAATTTCTTCGTTGCCTGATGACTTAAAAAATGTCTTGTTAAATAAAAAGCTATCTAACAGATGATATACTTCCGTGTATAAAAATAGATGGAGAGTAATTTTAATCATTTAGATAATATCAATATCATCTCATTAATTGTATCTGTATTCATCTTGACTTAAATATGTACATTGATTATCAGTTTCAAAATTGATATTATTATTATTCCATAGTTAAATATTTTTTACAAACATGTTACAGTTTAATATATTTTTAAGTATCCAAAAATTGTCTAAATATTTTCATTGACATTTATCAGTTATGAATTTCTAATTTTACATTTTTGTTGAAATCCAGTACAGATATTTTAGAGTAACTAATATTTGTACTGCCTTAATTTTTTATAATACTATTTTGGTTCTTCCAGGAAATAAGCTGGTTAATTTATGTTTGTATAATACTATATTATGGTACATGTTATAAATGTTGCCCTAAGTATAAAATATTATTATATGAAAGACTTAGTGTTATAAATAGTTAAGTTGTTAATTTCGGAGTAAAAGATATGTTTTTTTTCCATACTTATAATTGTGTGTTAAATTATTTATTTTGAAAATTTACCTGCTTTATAAAAATGTAAACAATATATGCTTTGCTTAATTGTTTATAAGTTATAAAATGTCGCTGTCTCTTTTGACATAATATAATATTGGAAAGGAAATTAATGTTAAGCATCTTTTGTCTTAACATTTTAAAAATGGAGACAAATTAATTTTGTTATTCATTTAAATAATTTCACTAACATCTTTTAAGTGTATCATCAATGAATATGATAAAAACTTAATACTAGTGTAAGTTAGTAGCCATTAGATATAAAAAATAAATAGATGGGTTGTCAGGTAGATACTTATTGAGTTTTTTTCCGTTTCATTAATTTTATTTAAAAAGAAAAAAATTATAATTTTAAATTGCCTTATAATTTTTTATTTAAACACTACAGAAATTATCTATAACTTTTTGTTTTTTGACATTGTAATATGATTTGTTTATTGTTTTTTTTTCAGTTCTTACACATTTGGGTAGTTAGAACTTAGATACTCTATACCGAATGACTTCAAGGATGTTGGATAAAAAAATTTAGTTTAAGCCCTAATAAGGATGACAGAGAAATCCATTATATGATCCATAGATTCTATAGCATACAATTTGAACTAAGACACTTAATATTTAGCATGTAATTTGAATGTACCAGCTTAAATAATACTTAATCTGATACTCTACTTAAAAGCAATTTTATTTTCTATTTAAAACATGATTACTAGCACCCGGAATGTACTAAAAACTACTGAAATATGCATGTATTAATTAACTCAAAAACACTGAAATATGCTTTTGAAAATTTTTAAATTTATAAATATGAGTAAAAAACATTTAAATATAACAATTTTTGTTTTAATTACCTTGGCTGGTAATTAAAAATAATATTTTACTGAACATTAAGATATTTTATTATAGAATGATAAAACACAATACATTATTGTATAAAAGTTTTTTTTTTTAAATTAAATTTTTAATCAAATACTTTGGTGCCAAGAATTTTAACATAATCATTAATTTGTTTATTCATAAACTTTTTAGAGGTAAATAATTTTGACGATTTTATAATACTTGATTATTATGCGGTTTACGAAAATAATCTAAAAAAAAATGTAAATAAGCAAAGAATCTCAAATATGCAATTAAATGCAAAATAAAATATTGTATTTAGATTTAAATAGGTATAATTCAAGTTTGTAGCTGATCTATCAATTTCATGGTTCATTCAATAAAAGCATGGAAATACATGAATTTTTGGACCTTAGTAATGACAAAATAATACTGACATACAATACATCACATAATTATAAAACCAATTTATGTATTGCTCTGCTCAAAATTTAAAATTAAAATGATAAAATTTTCAAAAACAATTTCTGCTAACCTAACCTAGCATAATATCTATCTATTTTTAAATTATAATATAACCCAGAGTTTCTGAACCTTTGTTTTATGGCAACAAACTATTGAAATAGGTACTTCATACTTTGTGATACAACAAAAAAATGAGAATAATGGGTAATATTTAATTGTAATTGGTTATTACCTAGTTTATTTACTTACCTATTTGTAGTTAAAAATAACATAAAATATTTGATGTCATAACATAATATTAAAAATATTGATAAATGCCGTTAACAGATAACTTGTTTTTAATAATCATGGAAATTTTATTATGTCAAATTAATGCTTTGTAAATTGTGTCGAAAACGTTTGTACATTTTGTGTCATTATTAATATACTTCTGGACACATTTATCCAGCTGGACATACAGTAGTTGAGAACACATCGATAAAAGTTATATTATTATAATATTATACAATAAATAATAAACAATTTATTGATGACAATATTTGAAATGTTAGTTGTTTCCAGAAAATAATATTATCATAAAATATTGAACGTAACTATTATAATACAATAATATAATATAACTAATAATAAATATTCGATACCTATTTAATAAGTGTTTTCTATAAAAAGTAGATAGGTATTGTAAATTTTAAAACGTTCCTTAATATGTTTATATTTTATACATACCTATAATATGAGAAATTATTTCTATACTTTTCATCATTTGAGTGAAGAATTTATTTTTTCTAAGTAGGTATAATTTTTATGAGCCTACTAGTACTAGGTCGATCTTTATAATTAGCCTGACCGGCAGTTTCCACATAAAAAATACAGTTTTACGTTTTTAATAGGTATCTAAAATTTTATTACGTTATTAAATTAAATATATGTATTATTTACCTATCTTACATTTATTACACATACTATATATTTTTCTTACCGGTAGGTTAGGTCACTTACTTTGAAAGTGAGTATTTTACAAAAAAAAAAAAAAATTTTTAAAAAATGTTGCTAATTTTAAAATTCAATCTATTATTTCTATAAATTGTAATTTTTATTTTTATTGATGCGTTTCATTTCCTATTGGCCCATGAGTGAAACCAGCAATTAATATTAAGTTTATGAAATAAACTCATAGAGTTATAAATATATTTAAATTTAAAAATGGCGATGCTAGACATTAAGTACCTATGCATTTGATTAAGAAACGATGGGGTTTTTACTCAAATCCAGTTTTCGATAAAATTGGTTTTGTTTCGGTGTAACTTTAAAACGAGTTACCGAAAATATAATTTTCTCCAAATAATATATTACCATTTCCTGCTAGAAATAGTTTGATTTTCTGAATGTTTCAACTTGAGCTTATATGACATTTGAAACTCTCTAACTTTCTTAGTTGTATTTTTTTGTAAATCTCAATAAAACTGATTTCGCATTTTTAAAAAGCTTAAAAATATTATAATATAGAGTTTTTTTTATAAATTCTTCATTTATCAGTTAAAATATATTGCAAATATACATTTAAAATATATTTTATAAGCGTTTGAATTTAAAATTTTTCAAGTAGATAAGTTACTTTACAATATAATATGCTAGCTTGATAATCTGAAATAATAATAAAGTAGTTTCTAGAGTTAGAGGTGAGATCTTCTAGAATAACGGTACAAATACGAAGTTCAAGAAATAAAATAGACGTACACGTCAGGCCGTTGAAAGAGGAACAAATCCGTTAGTAAAAACTTAAGTATCATGAATAAATTCTCAAAAGCATTATTAGTTGTACATAGAGGCATTTAGAGACTGAATGGTGAACGGGTGAATGCGTTAGGATAAATAAAATTGTATGTACGTAGGATGTATAGTGTATATAGGTAATACATTTTTAATCGATAGATGTGTGTTTAAATGTTATTCTTATTATTGGTCAGGTTAGGTTAAAAAATGCAGGTATTGTAATTATATAACTAATAATTACTATATTATCAAGTACCTATTTATTTAATTTAAAAAATATTATTATCTTAAAAATTGTAACATTTTTTATCCATATATTTTACATTAACGTCATCAAGTCCCAATATTAACACTAGTAAGTTGTAAGTATAAGTATGACACCTGATAGGTATTTACAGTGGCGTCTTTTGGGGAAAGGGGTCCAGGGTTTCGACCACCCCCCTCTCTAAAATAAAAAAAGAAATTTTAAAAATACCCCACAGGATATTTAATTACACTACAAATAGACCATAGATAATATTTTTAACAGATTGTTTTCGATTTTTCAATAAATTATATTATAGTTTCTCAAATTATTTTTAAAATAATAACATCTTGTATTGTGCGTATACCTAGTGTCGTGAACTCAGAACCGTATTTATTCTTTATTCCAACTCGATTATTATTATTATTATTATTATTATTACCTATTTCTTTCACATAATATTTAATATACATATTTATGTATCACTCAGCTATCCGGCACGAGGTTAAGTGCAAATCGCTCGGTATCAGACATGGTCTGACACCTGGTTTTTGTACCTTCTGTGTAAATTATTGTTTTTATTTAATTTTTAGATTAATATTCTGAAGAGATCTTCACTTGTCTAACCGGTCGCGCCAATAATTATTCAATCAAAACTATAATAAAATATTACATAAGTAGGTACTTGTACCAATATAATTTTTTTTGTTATTTCTAAAATCAAAACATTTAAAACATTTTAAAATGGGTTTTTGGTCTTGTTATTTTTATTTCACGAAGTACGCACATATAAAGGTAGACATTACAGTATGTACTGTATAATACCTGCAGGCATGTAAGTTTTTGCAGCTCGCTGCTATTAATGGACAATTAATAGTAAAAATTATAAAATTTTCATTTCAAAAAATGAAAAAAGAGGTGCCTTGGTGTATCTACATTATGTTAGTATGTTGCTATTTTGTTTTTTGTATTATGTTAAACAGTATATGTGGGCGTGTGTTCCACATAGAAATCTATTTAATGTATTGGCCCAGTTGAAATTTTAAAGTCCACACACACGCTATACATTAAAATACGTATAATAAAACTATTAAATAATATTCATAAATTGATATTTGACATTTACCTTCCTACCTATATCAACATTACAGGAATA